AAAAAAAAATCGGCTCCATTCTTAGCGACATATATATATATATATATATATATATATATATATATATATATATATATATATATATACTCACGGGAAACAGAGAATTGAAGAAACAAGATTTGAATTAGATTGATAGCCTGTAGGACATAGATATAGATAGACTAAAAGATAGATAGAGACAGATCTGAACAGACAAATCATATATATATATATATATATATATATATATAGATAGATAGATAGATAGATAGATAGATAGATAGATAGATAGATAGATTTGAACAAACTAAGATAGATAGATAGATTTGAACAAACTAAGATAGATAGATAGATAGATAGATAGATAGATAGATAGATAGATAGATTTGAACAAACTAAGATAGATAGATAAATAGATAGATAGATAGATAGATAGATAGATATTGAACAAACTAAGATAGATAGATAGATAGATAGATAGATAGATAGATAGATAGATCTGAACAATCTAACATAGATATATAGATAGATAGATAGATAGATAGATAGATAGATAGATAGACAGACAGACGACAGACATAGATAGATAGATAGATAGATAGATAGATAGATAGATAGATAGATAGATATTGGCGTATGATCCCATATTAATTTGAATAAAAATGAATCAGGTCTGGCGAAAACTGTATGCAAAATTTACGGAAATGAAAGAATCCTGTTTTTGGTGGAGAGGCAGGGGTCATGTTGACCAAATCCTGAACGTCTGGTATGGTAGGTGGGAGGTGCCAAAATTCATTTTCTTCTGCTCCTTTTTTTTTCTTAATTTTAAGGTGGAATGATGCAAAAATGTCAACGCAGGAAGTCAACGGAAATGAGAAACAACGAAAGGCAGTGTTTCCAGAGGGAGGAGGAGAGAGGGAAAGAGAGGGAAAGAGAGAAAGAGAGGGAAAGAGAGAAAGAGAGGGAGAGAGTAGGAATGAAAAACGAAAGAGTGACTGAAATCAAGACAGAAACGGAGAAATTATTGCTTGAAATACGAGGGGGAAAGAGAAAGAAATATTTTATAGTGTGTAAAAAAATAAAAGAGAGAATGAGAAAGAGAGAAAAAATGAGAAGGGAAAAGAGAGAAAGAAAAAGAGAGAGAGAGAAATTGAGAAGAGAATGAAGAGAGTAGAGGAGAGAGAGAGAAAGAGTAAGGAATAGAGAGAAAGAAAGAAAGAAAGAAAGAAAGAAAAAGAAAGAGAATGTGAAAAGTGAAGAGAGAGAGGAAGAAAGAAAGAAAGAAAGAAAGAGAAAGAGGGAAGAGAAAAGAGAAGAGCAAAACAGAGAAAAATAAAATGAGACGAAAGAAATGAAAATGAATCCAGTCGAGAAAAAAAAGCAGCTGAAGAAGAAGAAGAAGAAGAAGAAGAAGAAGGAAGGAGGAGGGGGACTGGTGGAGAGAGAGCAAGAAGAAGAAGAGTTGCTGGGGAGAGAGAAGAGTAAAAGAACAAATGATTAAAGAAAGAAAGAAAGAAAGAAAGAAAGAAAGAAAGAAAGAAAGAAAGAAAGAAAGAAAGAAAGAAAGAAAAGAGAACAAAGAAGAAGAAGAAGAATAGAAGAAAAAGAAAAAGAAGAAGAAGAATTGAAGAAGAAGAAGTAGAGAAGGGGCCAGCAAGAAAAAAATAGTAGAAGGACATGGAACTGAGATCGAGAAAAAAAAAAGGAGGAAAAGAAAAAAAAATAAATAAAGAGGTGTGTAAACGAAAAGGTGTCAAATAGATGAGTAAATGGGAAAAAGTGTAAGATGCATCAATGGTAACAAATAATAGCAACCATATCTGAAAGAAAAAAAATCGGATGAAAATGAAAGGAAAAGAAAGAGAAAATACAGCATAAGTGAAAGAACAAATCGATCCATAGGGCCAAGATATTCTTCTCCAAATGCAATTGGAAATAGAAAACTATCCAGCTCTGCATTAAATATGAAAAATAACGTTTAAAAAAAAACAGAAAAAAATTATAAGACTTGATCAAAAATCTTTTAGTGCCAGGTCGGCTTTCGACCCTTAAGTCTTGCTTTACTGCATTCCACCAAGTCATACACTTTTCATTGATTTATGGTATGTGTTCCATGCGTCGCAAACACCCAGCGACGAATTTCCGCAGGTTTGACTGACTCTGCCCATAGAAAGTGCACTACAGCGTGTTGTTCTTCGATGGTACAATCGTTGAGTGGAGCGCCCATACGTCTGACCTCGTTACTCCTTGCCACTCGACTGAACGATGGAATGCTGCGTGCGCCTAACAAAACGTCACCGCATGCACATGTGTGGTTTCGAGAGTCAGCGCTACCTTCTTGGTTTACCGGGTAATTTCAAAGTTGCCTTTACTTTCCGATTCAGCCTCACACAAAGACCAAGATAGACCTGACACAGGGGAAGAATAATGCAAGACACAACGTGAAGAGAAAGAAAGAAGAGAGAGAGAGAGAGAGAGAGAGAGAGAAAGAGAGAAAGAGAGAATTGAGATTTTTGCTCATTTCATCACTGAATAAAGCAAGAGATTCAGCTTAAGTTAGGCCCGACTGGGTTGGAACAATAATCCAATGAGAACTATGAATACGATTAAGATTTTAACCAGATAACGATATGTAAATAAGAAACGGCAGCAAATGTTGGACGATTTCCTCAAAGATGAAGAAGAGACTCGAGATGATGGAGATGTGGTTCTAAAGAAGGATGCTAAGGATACCATGGACCGAGCATTTGATCATAGATGAGGACTTAGAAAGGTTACAAACAAGGAGAAAGTTTTATTTTTAACACCAAAAAAGAGGCAGCTGAAGTTTCTGGGACACATAATGAGGAAGGAAGGCCTGGAGAATCTGATACTCACGGGTCAAATAGAGGGAAAGAGAGACAAGGGAAAGCAGCACGTGACATACTTGGCGGGCTTAAACAAGTGGAAGAGAGAACGTGGTCTGGAGGAGGTGGCAGAGGGAAGGAGCTTGCTGAGAGTTGCAAGAGATAGAGGCAAGTGGAGAGCCATTGACGCCTACGTCCTGAAAGGACATGGCATATGAAAACAGAGGAGCTATCCGAGGAGATCAGATCCTGTTACAGAAACTAGAGGGAAACTTAAAGATCAGATCTCGTTATAGGAAAACAGAGGAAATATCCGAGGAGATCAGATCCTATTATAAAAACTAGAGGAAAAATCGAAGATCAGATCTCGTTATAGGAAAACAGAGGGAAAATCCGAGTAGACCAGATCCTGTTATAGAAACTAGAGGGAAACTCGGAGATCAGATCTCGTTATAGGAAAAAACAGGAAAAATCCGAGGAGATAAGATCCTGTTATAGAAACTAGAGGGAAATTCGAAGATCAGATCTCGTTATAGGAAAACAGAGGAAAAATCCGAGGATATCAGATCCTTTTATAGAAACTAGAGGGAAACTCGAAGATCAGATCTCGTTATAGGAAAACAGAGGAAATAACCGAGGAGATCAGATCCTGTTATAGAAACAATAGGGAACCTCGAAGATCAGATCTCGTTATAGGAAAACAGAGGAAATATCCGAGGAGATCAGTTCCTGTTATAGAAACTAGAGGGAACCTCGCAGATCAGATCTCGTTATAGGAAAACAGGAAATATCCAAGGAGATCAGATTCTGTTATAGAAACTAGAGGGAAACTCGAAGATCAGATCTCGTTATAGGAAAACAGAGGAAAAATCCGAGGAGATCAGATCCTTTTATAGAAACTAGAGGGAAACTCGAAGATGAGATCTCGTTATAGGAAAACAGAGGGAAAATCCGAGGAGATCAGATCCTGTTATAGAAACTAGAGGGAAATTCGAAGATCAGATCTCGTTATAGGAAAACAGAGGGAAAATCCGAGGAGATCAGATCCTGTTATAGAAACTGGAGGGAAATTCGAAGATCAGATCTCGTTATAGGAAAACAGAGGAAAAATCCGAGGAGATCAGATCCTGTTATAGAAACTAGAGGGAAATTCGAAGATCAGATCTCGTTATAGGAAAACAGAGGGAAAATCCGGGAGATCAGATCCTGTTATAGAAACTAGAGGAAATTCGAAGATCAGATCTCGTTACAGGAAAACAGAGGAAAAATCCGAGGAGATCAGATCCTGTTATAGAAACTGGAGGGAAATTCGAAGATCAGATCTCGTTATAGGAAAACAGAGGAAAAATCCGAGGAGATCAGATCCTTTTATAGAAAGTAGAGGGAAACTTGAAGATCAGATCTTGTCATAGGAAAACAGAGGAAAAATCCGAGGAGATCAGTTCCTGTTATAGAAACTAGAGGGAAACTCGAAGATCAGATCTCGTTATAGGAAAACAGAAGAAAATTCCGAGGAGATCAGATTCTGTTATAGAAACTAGAGGGAAACTCGAAGATCAGATCTCGTTATAGAAAAACAGAGGAAATATCAGCTCCTGTTATGGAAAAAAATGGGAAAAAAACAATTGAGTAAACCCCAGAATAAAATTTGAAAGAAAAATGATAATCCAAAGAAAGAAAATTATCGCAACGTTTCGACTGCTGTGCCTTCCGTCCTTCTTCAGGTGTCTGTCGATCCGAGTAACAATCAGGGAAATTCGAACTGAACTTTAATCCAGTGATATAACTTTTCTTCTTCTTCCTCTATCCATTTCTAGGGCCAGAGATTTTACACACATTTTATATGTAGCCAAATTCACGAACCGTAATCCTTTTAGGCTCGTGGAATATATGACTAAGCGACTTAACCCTAATTTTTTTTTATTTCCTGTCTCCTGCTTCTGCCCTTCTGTCACACTTGACCGCCTTTGCCTTCTGCTTTCTTACTGTTACTGCTACAGAAGCATTTTTTACCAAGTTTTGTTCTCTCTCTTTCTCTCTCCCTTCCTCTCTCTATCCATCTTTTTCTGTCTGTCTGTCTGTCTCTCTCTCTCTCTCTCTCTCTCTCTCTCTCTCAAAAATGAATTTAATAATAAAGAAAGAAGGAAAGAATGCGAGATATGCCCAGAACATCTGGCTATATTTCTACGATGAGGTCTTGGAATTATTTATACTATTTGATGAGGACAAACTTGACGAGTTTACTTATTAGAACGCACTACGCACGTGGACAAAAATTAAGAGTTCAGTTTGAAATGTCAAGAAATATCGCCTGAAGAAGACCACTGCGTACAACGGCCGAAATGTCGTGAATATGGCAATAAAGATGAGGACCACATTCCGAAGAATGTAAATAGTTGTAACCTAGAAAAGGTTACTGAATGAGGAATAACCAAAACTGAGGTTGGAAATAAAATGGTAATCTTTATAACATCAACAAAATACAATACTCGCCAGCGGCGTGAAATAGGTAAACCACTGCTAGTGGTGGACTACTTAGAGAGCACATTACTTCTACTTGCAATAGTGTCCAACGTATTTATGAGGATTGGGACATACCTTTTAGTGTTCACAGGTACGGTATATAATGTAAATATGTCCCTAGAAATTAACAAAAACAATCTACTCGCGTAGATTAAATAAACGTTCAGTTTCGAAATTTCTTGAAGGTTACTCAGATCGACAGACACCTGAAGAAGGCCGAAAACCGAAACGTTGGGATAATAGTAATGAAGATGAGGACATTAGCCCCAATGTAAATAATATAAATAATGATAACTTAGAAATTCAAGCGATAATTGCTTGGAACTGGAAGACCGACAGATCAGAAGAATCGAAACTCTACAAATTATGCAAACATGGAAGACAGACGAAAGCGTTTGAATAATAAATATATTTGCTCTCATGCAATTTCCATCGATAAACTTCAAAGCCTTTGTGTGATCATACGCAGATGCGTGACAACGTTATAAACTTTTACTGACATGACAGAATAATTATGTACGAAGCAAAAATATTAAGGACAACTTAGAAGTAATTAAGAAAATAGTGAACGTATTCGTATTAAAGTTGATGGAACGGTGGAGTAATGGACAGCGGCTCGGATTGGGGAATCAGCGAGCCGAGTTCGATTTCCAGTCGAAATAGTATATTCACTTATGTGCTAATACCCTTCAGAAAGATATGAATCCTCTTTTTCTACCCCCATCTATGGGTAAATAGCCGGACAGACCGAGTTGGATGGCAACTGGTCTACCGCAGAAAGAAATGACAACCTCGTCAAAAGATACATGATCGCCTAAGCGTGTATCACGCATGGCACATGACTGACTGACTGACTGATTAAGGTTGATGCCAGTATGAAGTTTATATTCAAGTAATCAAGTTTATGTTTTAAGATTTTAAATTTTAAAATTTCTTTTAAAAATTTAAATTCAAAAGTTCAAATTTAAAGTAAGTTCCAAAAAGGGCAAATACGCGCGAGAAATGAAAATGACAGTAATACTCATCGTTACTAGAGTACTATGAATAATTTCAAAGAACTAACCAAAACTTCTTAAAGAACTGGAAATCTGAAGAAGACTAAATACACAATTTCTTTTTTTTTATGCTCCACGTCCTTTCAAAACGCGGTGTCATGGCTCTTGACAACTGCCTCTCGTTTGTTGCTTTAAGTAACTTTTGCTTCTTTACCATTTTTTCTTCCTTACCACCGCACTTTCCTTAGTGTTTTGTTTTTGTTTTGGGGTTCACTATTTTTCCATAGCTGGGACCCTAACAGGTGCTACCACTCCAGGGCAGGGTAGACCTGTGAACAACAATTATTAATAGGTACTTCCACGCTCCTGAAACCTCCAGTCTCCTGATCGAAAGCCTTTCTGCCGGATGTAATTTATCGTCATACTCAGAACAGAATTTTTCTTTTAATCAATTCACCACTAAGCAGGGTAATAATGCCATAAGACGCAATGGGTTACTTCGAGTGCAAGCGAGTCAGACGACATTAGAAATAATCGGAAACCCAATCCTAAACAGAAAAAAATCCGGGGAGGTGTGTGAACCGGACGATAGAAAATATATTTTTCTGAGATGAGGATTTATCATTATTTACACTATTTACATGCAGACTATTGTTCTTGATTTTGTTGTTGTTATTATAGCGTTTCGGCTGTTTTCGCTACGGCCTTCATCAGGTGCTATTGATCCGAGCAACCTATAATGAAACCCGAACTGAACCCCTTATTTAATCTAGGATGGTAGATCGTATCTAGGAACATCTTGTCTAGTTCTTACTTTTAGTACTTTTCAGTTAGTGCGCGCCCTGTTTCGACCAAGTTTAAGTACACACTGCAAGCCACAACAATTGAACTCACAATTACATGGTCACAAAACTCTTAAAATAAACCAACCTAACCTAAAATTACTACCGAATTCGATCCTCAGTGAGTGCTCTACCCAGAAAAAAAGTGACATGTCATAAAATCAACCAATAAATAAGGATGTTTTTTACCTGTATTCTCAGAAATATTTTCTATATTAGAGTTATCTCCCCTTCAAACGTGACGCCAGGTGGCATTTCTCTTTGTAATTTCTTTTTTTTTTACATACAAAAATGGCGGCCTGTTTAGAAAAAAAA